GGGTGCACTCAGAAATCGCAGAGTTATGCCATTTTTGTATGAGTTGTCAAGAATTCCAAGCACCGGAGGTACGCTACACGCTAGTTCTCTTTGACAAAAACAATTTTTATGTCGACCGTGGGGTAAATATAAGTAACCCACTGTTTTTGTTTCGCTGCCAAATCTAAAAGTGAAAACAAAGTCAAAGTTTTTGCACTATTTGTTTGTTCTTTATTAGCTACTTCAAGTAAAGTAAAAATTCAAGTACAAAAATTTCGAAAAAAAAATCACAACTTAGCTTAATAAGTGTCTCCACTTCATTCATTGATTAAAAAACTTTTCAGCGGCGACTTTGGAACCAATTGTAAGATTATTCATTTTTTGGGTGAAGTACATACCGATTTTCATTTCTCGATAGTTCATGAATTACAATCGGCTTCCCCGTAATAAAAACCAGCTCCCTGGACATGAAATTTCAATCTAAAGATTATAAGGCGCTTGTGCTACCGACTGAGATAGCCAGGATATCATGCCCGAAGGAGTCAAGATTTGTTGCTCTAGGAAAAAGAACAAACTTAGTTGGATCGTAATGATAATCAATGCGTTTTGAATTGAAATAATAGTCTGAAATGAGCGAGAAAATAAATCAATAATTTGTCCTTATCGCTAAATGGGTGTCATTGTTTTTTTTTCTATCAAGGCTTGATAGAAGCAACTCGTCTAGCACCCATTGCTTGCAACCGATATTTTTGGCGCAAAGTTGAGTGGTCAACTGCGTGCGTAATAAACCAGACCGCCACGATATTTTATTTTTTTAAATATGATTATATTTTTTTGGCTTTCTTGCTTTTGGTTTAGGTTTTATGAGGATAGTTGTCAATTTTTTCAAAAGCGAGTTGTTATACTGTTTTGATGCATTTTGGTTGACTGATAAGGTTCATTAGAGCCCGCCAATTTTTCCATGATTGATTTTTTTAACTTCTAATTTGCTCAATTGGCTTGAAAACTTTTTTTGAAATGTTCTAATGTACTCAGACTTTGTTGAAATTCTTTTTGCATCCGTGCTCTGCGTAATGTTGAAAAAAGAGACAAATAGTCTGTAAGCAGTTGGCTTACAGAAATTGCTCGAACCTGGAACTATCAAAATCCATTCGATGTCAAAGTTCTTTTTTTTCAGCGAAAACATGTGTTTGAGAATACTGATTTTTTATTAGTTTTATCTGAAAGGCTTACATATAAATTACTGCCTTGAAAGCTTAAAGTTATAATTTGGCTTTTTATACAGTTTTTTAATTTCTTCGATTGATAGAACTTTTTAGCAGCAAACTGGGGTTGAAATTCGTGTGACTGGGATTTAAATCACGATCAGACCTTGTTATTTCGATACGCAATAATTACGCTTGAGATTAGCCTGTGGTTTCGAATCTGGCTAGGGCCTCTTTTTCAAACGTTAAATATTTCGTTTTCAACAAAATTTTAGGCTTTTTATTCGTCGGTTTAGTTGTCACATCTTAGAATTGTTTTTTGATGCATACATTTTTCATTGAATTTTGTCAAGTGTTTTGGTTTGCTCTGCTTTTCTGTATGCCAGCTTGCAACGCTTTTGTATTTTATATAGTAATTGGTGCGAAGCTCCGCTTTGAATCTATGGCGCTCTACGTTAGATTTTTCCTGGGAAGATTTGAATAGACCGGCTATCGTTTGTCTGCTTATTTTGGTCGACTTAATTTCCAATTAAAAAATTTTTTAACATTGAAATTAGTTCTGTTACTTGTAAGTTTACGATCTGACAATTATACTCAGCGGCAATTTAGACGACAATACTTGGGTAGACAACCGTTTGTTTAAATAAAAACCTTCTCAAAAACTGGGAACTTCGTTTTAGTTTTTGTAATTCTCCAAGTAAGAAAAATATATTTAAAAATATAAAAGCTACAAAATCTACAATTTAGGTCGACCAAGCCGGTATAATACAAGAACGAACCATTTAAGTGATATAAATGTATTTCTGTTTCTTGTTTTTTTTTCGGTATCTATGCAATGTCCAATTTGTGAAATTCTTTCTGGTTTAAAATGAGTCGTAGGACTTCCGTTAATCTGCTCAAGTTTTGTCGGCTGAATTGCCGCATCTTGGACTCACTTTGTGCTGGTAAGCAGCTTCCATTGCAAGTGGAAATGTTTTTTTGTTGCTTCAGGGGGGAATCAGAACTTTTTCATCCGTTTTTTCGGCTCAGCTGGTGTCTGCTTAAAGATTGTCGACTCTGTTTCTGCTTCGTTAGTTTTGTTCCGTTGCTAAGTTAAAAGTAAGATATCTTGCTGGGTTTGTTTGTCTGTCTTTGAATCCTGTTTGACAAAAACGGCCATCATGAAAATTTCTGGGATTGGGTTTTTGAGACGATTTGGAAAACTTTTTGACTTTTGCAAAATTTTAAGTTTTTCTGAAAAATCATGCTACCCATTTTCAAAAAGGGATGACAATGGAAAGACCGCCTATACGTTTTTGTGCCTTGCTAATCTCATTTTCCTTTACCCCTCTGTCCACAGACTCCGAATAAGTCTGTGGGGTCGATTATTTGACCCATATTTTTCTTCGTGTTCTCAGAAACTGCCCTTAAAATCTGAGATTTTGGTTGCAATGAATAGATCGATTTTGAAAAGCTACCTTGCATAAGCAGCTAAGTGTAATTTTGTTATATTTACGTTTATCACGCTTGGAATAGTCAAATTTTTGATTTTTTGACCGTTTTTTGAAACTTTTTGACTCAACTCGAAAAACCGAGCGAAATTAAGTGATCAATCGAGAAACCCGGTCCTAGGAATCTTCTTTTCTTTGGCGGCATCGACCTGATTTTTACAGAAAAAAAAGTTGGAAAAACTTGAATTTCTGAAATTCATAACTTTTTTCTGCAAAAAATCAAGGTTGTGGCGGCTAAAGAAAAGAAGGTCCCAAAACCAGATAAGAAATTCAAGTTTTTCTGATTTTTGACCGTTTGTTTGAAACTTATTGAATTTTTTTTATCCAACTTCTGTTTGATTAAAACAAGTATAATGAAAACGTATGGGATTGGGTTTTTTTTAATTATTTATTTTTTTGAGACGCTTTGGAAAGTTTTTTCACTTTTTCAAAAATTTAGTTTTTCTCGAAGACTACTCTACCGATGTTAAGAAAAGTGGTACCAATGGAAGTTCCGCCCACTCCCATGTGTGCCTGCATAATCCCCAGTCTCTCTTTTTTAACCTTACCCCACTTTCTACAGCCTTCGAAAAAGTGTGTGGGGAGAATTTTTGGCCCGACTTTTTACATCTTCTGGAAAACTACTCTCCCAAATTTGAGATTTTGGGTTCAACGGATAGAACAGGTTTTGAGAAGCTCACCTGCATAAGCGGCTACACCCAATTTTTTTTACACAAAGTTATGGCCCTCAGAAAAGTCAAATTTTTGATTTTTTTGGCAGTTTTTAGAAACTTTTTGACTTTTCTCAAAAACTATCCTCCCAAATCTGAGATTTTATTTTCAATCAAAGGGATGGCTTGTGAGAAGCTGCACTGCATAAGCGGTTACGCACATTTTTTTACACAAAAAAATAATGACCCTCGGAAAGGTCGAATTTTCGATCTTTCGCCCTTTTTTGAAACATTATACTTTTCTCGAAAGCTAACCTCCCCAGTCTGCAATTTTCAATAATCACTAAGGTTTTGGGTTAAGTTCTTTTTTTGAATTTACCCATTCCGTACCGCATCATTATAACAAATTTAAAAAGTATCAAACACGTAACTCTAGCTTTTGTTTGAATTCGTCAAAATATTTGGTTCGTCATTTTTCTTTTTTTTTCCGACTTAAGTTTCTTTTATTTGTACTGTAGCTCATGTTTTGCGAAGCTCCGCTTCACCTTTGTGTTAACGTTCAAATTAGAATTATCAACTCCAATCTGATGTAATTTCGTTTTTTTTGTTTGATTGTTTACTCGGTTAAAAGTTCTTTCGGTTGTTACTTAATCGGATTTGTGGTATCATATTGCATCATTGGATGAGCGAATTATGTTTTATTGCGTGTGAATCTTTGAGGTGGTAATTTAATTTGTGTTCAAAGTTGTTTATGGACACATTTTCTTGGCTATTTTTTTGTTGACAACAGGTGGCAATTTTTTTGATTTGCCTTGTTTTTTTAAAATGAAGTGAACTTTATTCTAGACAGAGATGAGATATGAAATTTTTAGAACAACTATCTTTTCTCGACATATTGAAAAAAAAATTGACTCAACGGCTTCCATTTTTTTCTGATGTGGAGGGTCGCGGTGTAAAAACTTTAAAGCTCCAAGTTTTTAGAACTTTTTTTTTTCATTTTCAGCGAATTGGTCGTCTGCCTAAGAAGTGACGTCTTAAATTTTACCACAACTAAAATACTCGGGTTTTCTTCCAGACTCACATTATTTTTAAACAAAAAATACGTTGAAAATGATTTTTTTTTCTGTTACTGCAGCAAATTTTAGTATAAAAACGCGAGTTTTAATTAACTTTTCTTCAACTAAATCGACAGTTTTTAAGGAACTATTTAGTTAACTAATTTTTTTTTTACTTAACTAAAATCCGGGGCCTGCTGATCTAGACAGTGAATTTAATACCGAGCTAAACAAGCAAAATGAAGGCATTTTGGCGGTAAACGAATTATTGTTTCTCAACTTGCTTGCCCTAGCTTGATCTAACTAGAATAAGCTTGATCTAACTAGAATAAGACTAACTGCTGTACAAATTGTGATTCAATATGTTTTTTTAAAGATACGACTGTGTTCCTTAAATTTAACATTAGTCGAAATTAAAAAAAAATGTGAGAAATTATTGACTGAGTTGTCGGCGCGTCTAATCTTCTACTCGCCAGCTTGTGGTATGTGTCACATGTGTTGTGTCGCATGTGCTGTTAAACTCCACTTTATCTCTTCGTTCTTGTTAAACCTATCAAAAATAGTTTTATTTGTTTCAATTGAAAGCTTGTTTGCTTAGAATGCGTCAACATCAAATTATCTTTCGCAATTATTGTAGAATGTTTTCAAATATTGTGGAAAAATTATCAAAAAGCAATGAGTCAGGCCTTGGATCTCTACTTCTGCCATTAGCAAGACTGTTACAGCCGGCTTCTAGGCCCATATTTTCTCTCTAGAACCTTTGTATACAATTTGGTGTTACTACAGTGCAACACCATTCGCGAGGAAGTAAATTTATTTTTCAAAAACCATGTAAGTACATAGCGTTAAGACATGTCAGAAGTTTTTCAATAATAAAATACAATCAAAGTAATATTACTAAAAATTCTTTTCGTTTTATTGTTTTATGCAGTTTTATTGTTTTATCGCTTCATCGGCGTTTTTTTTGAAAATTATTTGAACCAAGTTAATTGAGTGACTCTTTCTTTGCTAGATCGAGCAGTCTTTAATGTAAAGTTTTCTTCTCAAAGTTGCTCATGGAGGTGTTACCTTCCTTGTTTCGGTCAAAAAGCTGTCTGTCCACTTTCTCAAAGTATTCAATTTCGTCATTCGTCTTTTCCGCTGAATAAAAGGTACTGAAAGAATCTTGATTGGTTTTAAAAGTTTCTGGCAAAAAAGCGATTTTGTTTTTGAAGATGTGATAGTCAAATCTGATTTATTGCGCCGGATGGAAAATGAGCTACATATTTTTGTTTTCTGTTGTTGTTTCGCTTTCGCACACTTCACGAAACAACTCTGGCGCAGGGTGTTTTTCTGCCCGATTTTGAAAACTTCAAAGAAAAATCTTAGTGTCATGTGTGGTATCATATTAACCCTCTTCTGCATGTGAAAAGTTTTGGTGGTTGTGATCTCAAGTCGTACTGAAAACTGATGCCTGAAAAGTTTTTCACTAACTGAGTAATTTTTTTTCGGCAGAGCGGTTGAGTTGACTTCTTGGAGTTTGTATGTTCCCAATCCAATTCGTCTGCCCACTTGAAACAAAGGCCAGTTTTTGTTGCTGTCCCTTTCAATTGAAACATTTTGGTCGAAAATTTCGATAAGTTTTCTGTTCGGCTGATAATCATTTTGGTTCGAATTCACATAAATAGTTTTTCGTGAGCCAAAAATCATAATACTGCAGATATTGACCGTTTGGTCGGTCATTCCACAAAACAAGAACATCGGAAAAAGTATAAGTTGCGTTTAAAAGCACAATGTTACTTAAGCGTAAAAAACTCGAGGAAAGAGTTCTAGCCAGTACAATAAATTTTGATATGATTTTGTTTGCATGCTAACTCGCAATTAACCAATTCAAACAACTAAATCGACAGTTTTTAAGGAACTATTTAGTTAACTAAATTGTTTTTTACTTAACTAAAATTCGGGGCCTGCTGATCTAGACAGTGAACTTAATACCGAGCTAAACAAGCAAAATGAAGGCATTTTGGCGGTAAACGAATAATTGTTTCACAACTTGCTTGCCCTAAAATCTAACGAGAATAAGACTAACTGCTGAAACAAATTGTGATTCAATATTCGGCCAAAAAACTTTCTTCTAATTGAGTGCCTTGCTCTTGCTTTATTTGCTTTTCTTTCTCACATAGTTGTCTATTAAACTCATTGTCTGGATCAGAACCGTCAACTTGTCATTCACCCTATTCTCAGGATGGAGGGACCAAATGATGGAAATTTTTTGTACCAATCGGAATAGTTAGTCGCTCCCGTTCGTCAAAATTAGCAGAAACTGAATTAGGGCAAGTTTTGCTGTACAATGCGTGCAGGTATCGAAAAAATGTATTGTTTTGTTTTTCAAATTTTGTTACCAATCAGAATTTTTAGTCGCTCCCGTTAAGTCAACATTAGCAGAAACTGAATAAGGGCAAGTTTTGCTGTATAATTCGTGCAGGTATCGAAAAAATGTATTGTTTTGTTTTTCAAATTTTGTTACCAATCAGAATTATTAGTCGCTCCCGTTAAGTCAACATTAGCAGAAACTGAATAAGGGCAAGTTTTGCTGTACAATTCCTGTTGGTATCGAAAAAATGGGATCTACTTAACAATTGTCCCCCTTTCAAGAAAGATGGGGGGGGGGGTAATTGTTAAGTAGATTAAGTTGTTGAATTTTTGGCTAATCAGATTGCAGCAGAATTCGAATTTTAAATGCAACGCTCTAGTGCTTAATTACTGCTTTTATTTATAGGGGTGGCAATTCTTTAGTAGATACCAAAGGGAGGGCGATTGTTAAATAGATCCAAAAAATGTAATGTTTTGTTTTTCAAATTTTGTTACCAATCAGAATCGTTAGTCGCTCCCGTTAAGTCAAAATTAGGAGAAACTGAATGAGGGCAAGTTTTGCTGTAGAATTCGTGCAAGTATTGAAAAGAATTATTTTGTTTTTCAAATTTTTAAAATGGGTTTTCTTTAATTAATAAGCTTTCCAAGATCTGACACTATTTGAAAATTCATGTTTCTGCTGATTTTTTATTAGTCAATTTGAGTTTTTATGGCCTGATTTTATTTGCTTAAAATAAGATTTTCGCGATTTCTTGAATACCCAATTCTGATTGGCTGAAAATAATTGAAAATGAATTTCCATCATTCGGTCCCTCCATCATGAGGGACGCCACCAAGGGAGTGTACTGCAAATAAATAAAGAGGCAAATCGGTGCAGCTCGATGTTTTTTGTAGTGCTTCGACTAATTTAACTAATCAATAAAAGCCTTTAATCGAAGGATTGTTAATTGCGTCATCCGCGCGTGTTGTTTTTTTTTTGTCTTTCATTTTGTCGCTCAGACGGATTAATAGATCCTGCGGTTTGTTACGTAGTTGTAACAATATGCAAAAGAGGGTTAAAAGGAGTGGAAATATATCCATGTCAAGTTCAACTGTTTTTAATTCACCATTGAAAATTAGAATATTTTTCGGGTCATTTAGAGACCCTGTCCTGATTCAAGATCCATTATTATAGTTAATTCTTACTTTGACGAGCAGTCTTATTTTGATGGGCAGTCTTACTTTAACATATCGCCACCTCTTTCATTCAAAAAGGAAAAACTTTCAGATGCGAAAAGTTCAGTTGAACGGGGAATTTTTTCTTCATATTTTGGGCATCGTTGGTTGAAATTGTTTATATTAGTTTCACGAAATTTCAACTTCTAACTTAGTTTTAATTTAGTATTTTTAAAACCGAGTTCTTTGCAAAAGCCAGCTAGCGAGCGTAGTGTTAGTTATCTTACGAATCCGAGTTCTTTCTAAACCGAATCGTACCAAAAATGCTCACTTTGCTGGCTCTTTCGCTGCATTGTTTTGGCAATTTAATAGCATTTCGATGCGCTTTATTGGTGGCTAGAAATTATTTATTACAATTGCCTTTAGTGGAGAAATAAGGGTGCTAGCCTTGTAACTTCGAGGTCGGCTGTTCAATTCCGGTAGATGGCATTTTTTCCCGACGCTTTTGTTGATGGTTTGGAATCTCGTATGAAAATATAAATCATGCAAATATTTTTGCTTTTCAGACTATTTTACACTGTAAGCTTTTTTTATAGTATATGGTTCGATGTGTTTAGGAAAGTAGCTACGCGTAAGGAAGTGTTTGTATTTTGTAAAGAATAACTGAATTTTTGCAAGGAGGGGTGTGGGTACCTCACCTAATTATAGTTTAAACTTTTTTAAGTAACTTTAGCTTAAATGTCTACTTTTTCGTACTTGAGTTTTTTTTTAGCGCCACTGTGTTCGGAACATTCTGTGCTACTTCAAGCTTTCTCAGTTTTTTTATTTGGAGCATATTTTTTTTACGACGGATAACGTAAAATTGACACTTTTTTACTCTAGCGAACTTTAGTGAGCGTTAGTGTTATACTACTACTATTCTTTTTTCTAACCTAAGTCATGGTTTTGGTGCCACTTTTGGGGCAACTCTACGGCTTTTTGGTACAATTTGCTTTTTTTGCTTTGGCATTTGAATAGTAATAAGTTAAGACAAATAATACATTTAAATTCATCAAATGAGCCGAAGAAAGCTTTTTGTCTCAAAACACATAACAATCATAAAAACTCGATTTCAGAAATTTTCTAACTCAATATATCTTGCAATTTTTGAAAAACATAATTTATACTATTTGTGGCTTTGTGCTTTGCAGTTTGTTACATTACAAAATAAGTGTGGATGTTTGCAGTTTCTTATATTCCAAATTATTACTTGCAAAATTGTGTCTTTTTGTATAAGGTGCTACTTTTGCTGTATCGAATAGGCAATTTGTTAGCATATGTAGCTGCTTTATTTTTGACTAGTGTTTGCAGATTGTTAAGAGTACGTGGCCGAGAAGGAGAGGCATGAGACTCCAATTCTCGAAGTTGCAGGTTCGAAGCGCATACATAGCAAAGTTTTATTAATTCGAGGCTTATTTCACGATATAAAGCTGTTTTTTTTTGTCGTGTGCTTGCTTGTGCTTGCAAAGCGCAGCTTCGCCTCTGTGTGAAACTCTGCATTGGGTATCGAAACTTGTTTTGGTTTCTCTAGGAAAGAAGCTATATGTAAGGAAGTGTTTGTATTTTTATTCAGAGCATAACAACTGTGTTCTTGCTCTTTATACTAATTTGCACCGCAAAGTCGATCAAAGAATGGTGGTTGATATGTTACAATAGTTGGTAATTTTGAGTACAGGGCATGAATTAAATTTGAGAACTTTAATGCATAATATACTCATTGCATTTTCAATCAATTGTACTGCCATTAAGATAGTTTTTGTAAAAACATTATTCTGCAAAATAAAATGCTATTCAAAAATTCAAATTTTACTTTTCTTTCGCCAAAAAATTTGGTTTTTGAATAGCATTTTATTTTGCATAGTATAACAAAAAAAGATCCAGCTATTGAAATTGAACCTACCACCTATTGTAATATATCACCGAATGGTGTGGTATATTTTGAACAATTTTACCTTAAGTTTGAAGCCTTAAATCAATACTCTTTTGTTCGTGTTTTTCTTGATCACCTCTGTGGTCGGAACTTTATGTGCTACTTGCACAGTAGTGTTCTTTTCGGAGCCGAATATTATTTTTGCGTTTTCCCAGTACATTGACTCGTGAGTTATGACATTAAAAAATCGAAATCCGCCGTGAGTTCATTTGTGAAACAGAGAAATAGGAGTTCTCATTTTGTATGTTGGAGTTAACCCAAGAGCAACCAGAATTGATCCAGAATGTTAATCAAAATAAAATTTTTAATAGCACTAAGAAAAACCCCAGCAGGCACAGGAATTTGTAATTTGTTTGTTCTTCAACTATACATCAGATAAATTAGATGTGACTTCTATGATCTCTCTGCTTTTCTTTCGAAACACTCAGCTTTTTCTCGCCAATTGCAATCCTGTCTGAATCATGATTCTCCCAAAGAAGCCATTGCTCGCCTAAAATGATCGCAAGAAATAGTTATCATACACCAATTGGCTAAACGCGAAGCGCCATCGAAGGAGTGGCAGTTAAGTTCTAAATTATATATATTGTACATCAATCAAATCGAAATTGATGAATTCCAAGTCACTTGTTTGTTAGTTTTGTTTTCGACTAGGTAATGCTCTCCCTCAATCAACGGGTGCAGAGAGCCCAAAGAAGGTTGTTGGTGTCCGATGAAAATAAATTTTTGTGCCTTGCTTATAGTTTATAAATTTGAAGCTTGATATCAGTTCATTACTTTTTTTGTAATTGAGTTTTTGGTAAGCGCCACTGGAGTCGGAACATACTGTGTTACTTGATTTTGAGGCCGAAAACCAGTTACTTTTGGAGCCCAATAATAGTTTTCCATTTTTTGCTGTATTTTAACCCGTTATGACATTCAATACTGGAAACTCATCGTGAGCTCATTGATATTAAGATTCAAATTATGGTTAATTTTCGAAACCTACCCAGAGACTGTTGATAAAGAGTCAATGAAGGCAAGGAAACAAAAAAATATGCTGAATTTTTGAGAGAGAGAGAGAGAGAGAGAGAGAGTTAAAAAACTGGTTGTAGATGGAACAAGTGTACATAATTATTAAATACGTGAATAAAAAAAATGTTTCATCGGTCACTGAATACATAGAATTATATAAGACTCCACTTAAGAAGTAAGGGGGAAGTTGGGTGTTAGCAGAGTCTACCCTTTATATTAGAATTTATTCTCTAGTGTGCATTTTTAATTAATTTGTTTGATAGCGTACAGGTTTTTTTTTTCATGGAGATGATTTTTTGAATTACCAAGTTAAAATTTTTTATTGATGTAAATAGAAATGACCTACGAAGAAATTAGGTTTTAAACAATCCTGGCAGGAGAATGAGCCGATGCGATGATTAAAGCGGAAATTAGAATTCGGAAACTGCAGGAAGTTAAATGCTCTAATTCTGTTTTGGCTTAATCTGTATTTAATTATATCTCTAGCAGTGGGAATTCTGTTTTTCCCTCACATATGTGACAGATTCTCTTATGTTTATGTTCATGACAAATTGTATACCCCATTTTATTTGCTTTTCCAGCTTGTCTAGATTTTCTTCAGTACAACCACTCAAAAGCATGCATGGATAGTGTAAATGGCTTAATTCAAGGGTATTGAGTAAAAGGTTTCTGGTTCGTAGAGGAATTTCATCTCTTATGCATTTTATTGTTTAGATTGCACTAGCCATCTTCTGTAACATTTTGTTAATTTCTTTTTTAAAGTTAAGTATGCATCCATGTTAGCACCGAGAAACGACGGATTCAGATAATTTGACTTGGTAAATTCCTACATACAGCTTGCAGTTTCCTGTGAGTTTCTTTTGTGATGGAGCAGAGACTTGTTTGTTAAAAAAGTGAACTTTCGAATAAAATAAATCCTATTGAACGTGGTTCCTGATTCATCGTCTGAGTTTTTCAGTTTTCCACATTTGAAGCGAGTTTTGATTGCCAGTATGATTTATGTTAATGTTGACCAGATTTTATCTCTTTTTAACAATTCTCATTCTCATCTAAGGGTTATGCAATCGGGTACTAGACATTTTATCCGTAAATAACTTTGTTCGGAATAGTCATATTTGTAGGAATGGTGAATTTCAAGACGGGCTCAATTTCTGTTATAAACACTTGGAGTAATTTTTGGACATTCTTGAAAACAATTATCTTCAAAAAATGTTGAATTTCATTCTGATTTGTTTTCGGCCTAGCTTACGTCGGTTAAGCTTCAGTTTTTAAGGGTATTTATATTCTGGTAATAATTTTTGTATTTGTGAAGCATGGATTTAATTTGGTTGTAACTATATTTGTACTATAATTGAAAGTTCTGTAATTTGTCATTTTACCAAGTCTGCTATTGAGATTTTTCTGTACATTGTAATTTTACCAAGTCTGACAGAAATTTCTGGCTTTCGGAGCAATCAATTATTTGAATGTTCGACCGTTTGCTGATTCTTTTTGACTTTTCTCGAAAACTGCCCTCCCTAATCATGAATTTCTGCTGGTGTGAATCTTCTCTTGTGCGTAAGCGTCTACATCAAAAGTTTTACAACATTTTTTGAGTCTCGGGAAAGTCTCATTTTGATTGATTGACCGGAAAACCGACACGACCATCTTTTTTGCAGAAAAAACGTAAGCCAAATGTTTGAATTTTTGACCATTTTTGAAAAACTACTATAAGATCTACGATGAAAATGAAAATTTAAATCGTAAGAACCAGTTGTGAGAATTTTTGCTGCAGAAGCGGCGATTCTTAATTTTTCGTAAGAAAAATCCAATGTCTTAGGGAAGATTTCAGTGTCTCAAAATTTTTAAATTTTTGTTATTTTAGTAAACAATCAACTACGGTTTTTGAAAAATCCATTCTTTGAAATTACTCATTTCATCCCACTTTAGTATAAAAGTTTCCAAAATCATCAAACAGCTATTCCAACTTCAGCTGGTCCGCTAGTTATCTTTTATCGAGACATACGAACATTTTGGTTCATTCAGTTTTTATTTCAACATTTTTTCTGCTTACGTTTTATGTTAGTGTTGTGTGCTCTGCTTTGCCTCTGTGTGAAAAAAAAAATGTTTTTTTTTTTAGTTTTTCAGTTTCCTATTTTAAATTATCTTTGCTTGAATCACAGTGGTCCCAGTATTATGTACTACCTGTCGAGCAACCGGCTATGGGTTATACTTTGGGGTCTGGTTTTTTGAAGCTTACTTTTCAAATTCATTATCCTAGCAGACCTAAAATTACGCTTTCCAGCAACAAGAGGAGATGGGGCGCGAATTGCATGTCTTTTTGCCTTTTCATACCTTAATTTAACGATTGCTTCGTATCAGTAACCACTGGGCATGATTTAGCGTGAATAATATTTTTACTACTCTTGTTTTCCTGGTGAAGAGGAAATTTGCTATACTGTTTTTTATTCCGTGGAAACGATTTCTGAATTATTAATTGAACGGTTTGTGTTATTTTTTTTACAGTGAGCATGTGCTTTGGCTCAGCAGAGGTCTTGGTTCTTCCGACATGTGGAACGCAGTAGATACAACTCGATGACAAATCTAAATCAGTAGCATAACATTGCAAGTTAAACTGCAGTCACTCTACTTGCCAAAATAAAATTTAAATGCAGAAATAATTGGCGGTCAATTATAACGAATATCTTGACAGGGCTTGAAGAAATTGGTTTTCGTCATCATCAAGACCCCTAGGCGCCAAACGCTACTATATACACGTGTTACTGAAGCTATATTACATTTCAATGTCGATAGTTAGAGCTATGAGACGATTGATGCCGCGTAAGTTTGGTAGATGTATGGGACTGGTGGCAATTTGCATGGTGATCGCACTATTTGTGGAAACATTTTTATTCGAAAGTCGTACAAATACCGGCTCAGATCAGATGGGAGATCCAAGACATTTGAATCCGAGGCATGTGGCTAAGTCGTCGCCTGTGGTATCATTTACATTGCAAGGAGAGTCCTCTGAGTTCCCTTCACAGTGGAATTTTGGAAAAAAGGATCTTTTCTTCAACCTAACGCTGGTGGGAGGTGACAACAGTCCAGGTATGGTTACATTCATATTTAGAATGGTCTTATCTACGCAAGCTGGCTAGCGTAGCGCTCTTCTTCTCGTTTTTTTTTCTTATCCAACTCGCATAAAGTAGTGTTTATTTATGAAAACAATTTCGCTGCATCGCCTTGGCAATTTAATAGCATGTGTTTTTTTTGATACCCTTTTTTGTGGTGGCTAGTGTTTAGATATTTAAAGCACACATGTCGGAGATGCGAGAGCATTACACTAGCAAACTCAACATCAGGGATTCGGTTCCGGTAGCTACTATTTCAAAGCTTATTTTGGCTTCTTCTGTATTTTTTTAACCTTTATGCAGCTTCTTATTTTTCGCGAATTTGAGTTTCACCTGTGTGAAATCTGATTTTTTCATGTTTTCTTTCAATAATTTACTTTTGATTTAACAACAGTGATATCGACTAATTTCACATGAAAAAGAAATTTTGGTCCGTTTTGAAAAATTGTGAACAGTTTCAGAAAAAGTTGTTTTCTATTTGTTTTTTTTTTAATGTGTTCATGATATCGCTGCCTTTTTTCAGCTATTCGACAATTTCAAGTGTATGATAACCAAGTTCGCTTATCTGTACACTAGCGATTGGCTTAGTTTTTTATTACGAACCTTTGTTTTCACTTCTTGGGAAATTTAAAGTTGTCACTTCTCGAGAAATTTCATTGTAACAATGGAAATTGCGTAGCACCTGTTATCTGCTTTACTTGTGGCTAGTGTTTGGTATCTATTAGGCTTCCGTGGCTGAGTGGTTAGTTTGTGAGACTCCAGGGCGCATTTTCGCTAATTCGAGGCTTATTTCTACTTCGCTTATTTCAATTTCCAGGTCGCAGGATTGAATCTCAGATGTAGCCGGATTTTCGCTAATTCGAGACTTATTTCTACTTCGCTTATTTCTGCTTTGCTTATGTGTTACATCTGAATCCAACACAATGTTTTCCTAAACTAATCGAAAAAAAAAACGTAAAATATGTTGCAAGTGAATTGTATTTTTTCTGCGTCTTTTGGAGTGACTTCGTCTCCGTATTGGATATCAGTCTGAATAGCAAAAATGTGCAGACCAGTTTTCCGTGACTGAAAGATATTTCTAACATATCCATTTCGAATATGAATCACGACTGTAAAGTTTTGATATTATACCACAATCGAGCACATGATATCTACGATTGTTCTTTACCTTAACCTGATCTTGAGCAAAAAAGACAAAGTTACGCCAAAATTACTTCACATTCTAAGTGCTTGGAAACAAATGTTTTTTTTCAGGTGGTCTTATCATTACTTTAATCTGATTATGCTTGCGAGCGGCAATGGTTTTGCAACGGTGCTTGATTTTTTTTCACTAATATATAGCTTTTTCAGATTAGCAATTTGCATAACAAAATCACTTGAATCATTTGATAGCTTGATTTCAAATTAGTGAGTATCTCCGGCACACTTAGCCTAGAGGTAATGTCCATAATTGGTTTGGCAAAGATCCTGGGCTCGCATCTGGGCAGGACATTTTTTTAAACAGAAAATTTTCCGTTTCTGAAAAAATTGTCGGCCTACTGTCTGATTATCGTATGTCTGTCTATGTTTTGTCGGCTTAATTGGAACCGGCATGTGACGCAAGCAATTTCAATGAAAATGAAAGTGTTTTTGATTAATTTTAGAGGAATATATGGTGTCGGCTTATTTTATAACGGCCTAAGTGACCTTAATTTGCGTGGTTTAAAAGGACAAAAACGTTCATATTTTTGCTTCCAGGGGGGGGGGGGTATAATTTAAAAGTTTAAAAGGTCAAAATTTTTATGACAATAATGTTTTCGGCTCAACGGGTTGCCTTTTAAATGCCGGGGTTGTATCGTTGAACGTGTTTTCATCTAATTGAACATCATTTGAGACAATTCTTTGACTTTGCAATTTTTTGACATTTTTTGTTTGTAGTTTCTTGGTATCACAAGTGGTGCGAAGCTATGCTTCGCCGCTGTGTAAAAGGCATCGGCTTTTGACATTTTTTTTGTGTGCTGCGTACACAGCGGCTTATAAAGTATGAGTAGAGTGGTGTTTTTTGTAAATTAATTGAACCATTCAAAGGTGTGTAACAAGGCGGTTTTAAGCACTTTTTGGAAAATGCTGACCAAAAAAATCACATTTTTTTTGGCGAGCGCTCCCCCCTCAAAATTAGTGTATATTGGCGCCTAAGGCGCCTTCAGAAAAATTTTAGGGTCTATCACCAAAAAAGATATCTCAAAATAGTACAAATGGGGATCCTTTTGGGTCGGCAGGGGGGAATGAGAAATACCAAATATTTAAATCGCAAAAAAAAATTGAGAAAAGTCTGTGTTTTGTTCTATTTATATTTTTTTCAAAAATCACTGTTGCCGAAACCATTTTGTTAAAACCATTTTGCTTCTATTGATGCAGTAATGCAATAAATTTTGCTTCTATTGATGCAATCAAAGATGATGCAATAAATAAAACTTTCTAGAATCAAGACTGATTATAGGAAGTCATTTTCTAAGCCAGCTTTTAAGCGTGACTAATTAGAAAATATTGGAAAAGTTTGAAGGTATACTTTTCTGCTGTATAAAATAACTCCATGATAATCTACCCTATTACAATCTTCCCTTTGCCATTCTACCCTTTTCTACTTTAACCTCTGTTGGGTAAATTTGTACAGGGAGAGTTTGTACCGTTAAATGTCGACAGGGTAAATTTGATAGAATTTAATACAGCAAATCTGAGGGTTCCTCGCCTAGCCAACATCTCGATGTAATTGCAGAGCCTGAATTTTGTCCATTTTCAAAGATTAGCACTCTTTCTTCTTTCTTTCTGAAGACAAAATTCTTCGTGTAGCTTGGTTTGTTTGTCCAAATTTCTGTCGGCAATGGGAAATTAGCTTCAGTCTATTGAGGGCCCTTTTTATGGCCGACCTTAGAGCTAAATAAACATCTTTTGCTATGAGAGCTATCTTTTGAGATCGTCTCCACGTATCGCCGCAACTTTGCATTTATAGAACCCTCGCCACGAACACTTCCAGTGAATATTCCATTCTTTTTTTTCCTGTTTCTTTGTAACTTTCACGGCCGTCGATTAGAAGTGTTTTCCGGTTCTGTTGAGTTTGAAACTAAAAATATTAATCAGTTTGGGAATAGTTTGTCAATATGACCATTGTGACTTAGTTTTTGTTTCGTTTTGGAACGAGATTTTGAAAATTGGGGACTAAAAGCAGTTAATTTTTGTCGTAATTTTCAGATTTTCAGGCCTTATTTACGATCTTTGCGAATCTTTTGAACAATTTTCTTCTGATATATACTGAAGTATTGTAGTTGAATTTGGTTGTGACCACTTGTTTTGTCGTGGTAATACTTTTTCTTCGCGGAATAGGTCAGAACGGGGCAGAAGTTGTTCATGTGGGTGCGGAAGTGGAAGAGGCAAAGAGAAGGTTCAAAGAGAACAACTTCGACACTGTTGCCAGTGAGAAAGTGCCCTTGGACAGAAGGGTGAAGGACCTCAGACACCCCGACTGCCTCAACATCCAATATGACCAGGGTAAGTAAGTCATCGCCGTATTCTACTTATTTATACACCATAATTCTGTCACACAAGAAAATTTATGTGTTCATTACGAGGCCAAACTGTGCACTGAGTAGGCGCTCAATTTTGTGTCTGAATGTTCCTGGATTCAGAGACAAATCTTTGAACAAATTAAAATTTTGTCAGAACAATCAAAAAAAAGGAAAGGACAACTTTTTATGCTCAGCTCTGGATCGCCCAAAATGCTAAAAATCTTAATAATTAATTCCTAATTAATAGTTCACGTTTTTCATGACAACAATTTTTTTGGCTTTTTGTTTTTTTTTCCTATTCTTTCGGCTTGATAGGTTTTGATCTATATTATATCCGTTTAATGACCATGTTGCTTCTTTCGACGAGCAAAAAAATATGTGTTTGCATGTCTGTGTTTTGAGGGTGAAGAGGACTTATTGACTTAAGTCTTGTTGATTGTTTTTCGGCTTTGCTAATGTTTGATAATTTTTTCCGGTGCTTGTTCCACATTCTATTGTCTTGGCTTTTTTTCCATTTGAAAACTAGCTTATTTTTTAAAGATCTATTTTTTTTTGACATTTTCGAGTTTTTTCGATTTTTTTCTGACTTGGCGGGTTTCTTGTTTTGTATTCCAAGTGGTGCGACGCTCAGCTTCGCCTCTGTGTTAATTTTTTTGCCAGAATAAAAACTCTGTTTGGAATATTCTGTGCTACTTGCATAACATCTGGTTACTCTTGTGATTATTATAAATTTCTTGGACCAAAAAGATGCTTTGAAATAACTTTGCGGAAGGAGAATTGAGAATCATTTTTGATTTCCCGGACACCAAAAAGGAACCTTTTCGCTCAGATTTATTAATCGAATTTGAATGCTATTTTGTGCTGTTATGTTTTGAAATAATTTGCTTTAAACAAGTTATTTTAGTATAGTGGAACTTTTGTGAGTATGATAAAAAGTGTTATTTCAGATTTGCCCTCGACGTCAATCATTGTGATATTTTACAACGAGGCACCTTCAGTTCTGCTCAGGACAGTCATCAGTGTGCTTAACAGGACACCGCTCAGTTAGTTTCTCATATTTTTAGGGGAATCCCTCATGTCAATGAACATGCATGTAATGTGAGCAAATCAAGCTGATGATGTACAAGCGTGTATCAGTTATTCTCTCATAACGTGTAATTGTGTAGAAATGAGGACGTATAATTTATATCAAAAAAAGTTTCAGCTCTGCAAAATTTCCCGCGCAGGTCATATTTTAAATGAAAATTGGCGTCTTTAAGCAGTTTTGAAAATCTTCGAACAAAAAATGCGTACTGACCATTAAAAACATTTTTACGCTCCGGAGCAGTTTTTAGAAAAAAAATAGTTGGACTCAGGACACAAAATTTTCGGATTCATAGAAACGAATAGCTTCTAACTAGATTAACTGCAGTTTGCGCATAACGCATGTATTAAATGAGTTGTGGTCTAGTCGTATACTGAGTATGCAAAAAGGGTTTTTTCAAGTAATCTGTCCTAAAAAGTGTAATGTGTACAATACGCTGATATTGACACATGAATCAAGATAACCCAAGCTATTTTTTGCACTTGAATTATTATTTGTATGCTTTTTGATTTTGTTTTGAGTGTGGCCCTACAGTTCGAAAACTCTTCTTTACCTGAGTTGTCATTTCTTTTTTTAAAAATCTAACCAACATCGTAATAATAACGCAAGCGATCTTGCGAGCATTGTGTTGTAGTACAATTTCACTCTTTTGCCAATCCAACTCTCAAATAAAAGTGTTAATTTTGGTAGCACCTTTGATAAACTCCACTATCGAACAGCGAAAGTCAAAAGGCCACGAAAAACGTGATGAACTTCTAGTTTCGTAAATGGTATTTAATTTTAAGATATAATCAGCGAAATAAAATTTAATCTATTGAAACTGTTTTCTCAATTTGGGTTTAATTTTATCGAAAAAGTGCAAATCGTAAATTGTTTATAAAATCAAAGAGCTTTAAATGCATCTAATTTTTTGTGAAGTTCGAAAGTTGAGATTTTTTCAAACAACAAGTCAGTTTTTTTCTTCTTTTTAATTGCGTTCATTGACTCTTTTCCAACTGTCTGTTGGCTATGTTTTTAAGAGTCGATCAACTTAGTTTTTTAAGATTTAGTCTTAAAATTTGTTTAGGCTCAAGTTTACTTTTTTGTGGTTTGACTTTTGACTTCTTTTCAAGTTCAGTTCATTTCCTTTGTTACAATGAAATAAATCCAGTACCAAACAGCCAAAGTGTTAAAGTCACGAATAACGTGATAGTCTTCCAATTTCGAAAATGGATATAGTAATTTGATTTCCCAGCGAAATAAAAATAATTGACCTATCGATCCAGTGTTTTCAAATGTGTGTGCTTTTTTGCTATAATCACGATCTATAGCAGTGAAACATTCGTAGCATCTGTTCTCGGCTTTATTTGTGTCTAGTTTTCGTTATCGGCTAAGCGTCCGTGGCTGAGTGGCAAGTGCGTGAGAGTCATAACTTCTAGGTCGCAGTAGGTCTTGAGTTCGAGTCCGAGACGTCGCAGAATTTTTACTAATCGAGGCTTATTTTTACTTTTTCTTATTGCACTTTTTAGAAATCTAGAGCTGCTTTTTGTCGTGCCTTCGCTAGTGTTTGCGAACACAGCTTCGGCTGTGTCTAGACATTCACAGAGCTTTGAGTTAATCTATTTTTTTTTCAGTTCGATAGTCCACAAAAAACAAGTCCGATTTTTTTTCTGTTTACTTGCGTTTATTGACTCTTTTTTTTAAGTATTTGCTCTCAAGGGTGTTTATGTTCACGTCAGTTTTCTTTTCTACTCAAAAGATGGACTTATTCGGCTGTAGATGGCTGAGCAGGCAGCTCCAATTAGAAAAAGGTTTGGCAAGTGCCGAAAAAGGCATAAACCGCCGATAAAAATTGCAAAATCAAGCCCCGTGTGAGCGGAAGTTAGAAGTTGGTTTAATTGTACAGCTGTTTTTTATCTGTTAACACAGTGAAATACATAAGATAATTTATTGAAACCGCTGTTGGTTTGCGTTGAGAGAAACAAATGAGAATTTCGAAATTGGCATTTGGTGCATTGTCAACAAAAATTAAATTTGTTTTCTCAAAAAGGTAGTAGACTTTTGTTCTTTTTTCTTAAAATTGCTCTGAATAACAATAAAAACTGTTTGGCGAAAATTATGTTTTGTGAGCCGAAAACCAGTTATGCAAGGTGAATTTAGGCGCCGATTGAACGTTTTATGAGCCAATAGTTTTTTGTTTCTTATACTGGGACTTAGTACAAAGAAAAGAGCGTGGGCTATGAGAACTGTTGATTTGAGGATCTAACAATCCAAGTTTCTGACGAAAACATTTTCTCCAAAATAACACTGGAAAAATTGTTATAAAAAAGCTTATTTGAAAATTTTGATGATTGTTATATATTTCGATGATTGGTATAAATTATTTACCGTTGCGATAAGCAAGGATAATGCAATCGGGTACCATACTTTTTCCTCTTAAAGATCTTTGTTCACAGGATCTGCAAATTTGAGAAGATCTCTATTGTTAGCACAGGGCAGTTTTAACAGCTGTAGTCTTCTAGGATACTGAGTCTTCAGCTGAAAATATATTAAAGTATAAGAAGATTTTTTGTCGGCTCTTATGATTTCGTACCAATTTTTATGTTAGTAAAGCCAAAATTTTCTGTTAGTAAAGAAAATTGTTAGAAATTTTCTGCCAGAAGTTTTTAGTTGCATTAAACTTTCAGTTTTTTTCGGATGCAAGGTTTCTGATTTATTTTTTTTGTTCTAAAAAAGTGTGGAATTACTTATAGTTTTAATTGGCTCAGTGTGTTTTAGGTTAGAACAATTTAACTTGAAATCGATTCAAGTTGATGGCATAGCGTATTGTTTTCATGTGTTAATTTTTTTAAGTTCATATTTTTTCGAAAATGTTTTTTTTTCTATCTGGATTTGACTATTTTGTCTACGAAAAATTATTGCACGAAATTCAGGTGTTTGGTTTTTTCTGGCTGAAATCTTTGAAGAAAAGCTTTTTCACATGTTTTCTCAGATTTTGTGCAAGTTTTTGCATTTACTCGTTTTTTTTCCATTTTGATCCTACTTCATAGCAAATAACAGATAAGGCCTTTTCATGTCCCCAGTTTTTCTTCTAGGATATGCACGTTGTCTGGTTGCAACGTTTTAATGAACGTTTTTGAGTAAATTTGGGAATTTTTGTATCTCGATTTCTCTTTCAAGTATTTTTTTCTTATCATTTTATCCATTGTTTATGAGAAAAAAAAATGAAGTTCTTTTGGTCAGAATCTTTCTTATGTCTTAGGTTAATGTTTTCTATAACATTTGCAAAAAGATTTTTGTTCTTGGTTTTTCTACGATTTCTTCAACAGAATTCATTCAAGGTTTTCACTTTTCGTTAGAGAAAAAATCTATGATTTGTGGCATTTTATATCTATGCAAATGGTGCGATGCTTAGCTTCGCCTCGATGTACAATTTTTTTTGAGCAGACCGTAAAATTAGCGATCAAAGTTTAAAACAGGGATTAAATAGATGGAAGGCAAACTGAGTACTCACTGGGTCTTGCCGTTTCTATTAAATTAAACAGAATGCATTAAACACAACAAAGTCAGTTTTGTTTTCAAATTCTAGTATTAATATTCCAAAGTTTTTAAATTACTTCGAAAATTTTGGTCAGAAAAATTAGTTGTATTGTCTCCTCAGTTTACTTGCGCTCCATTTTTCTGTAGAATTTGAACCACTTCCAAGTTGGTTTTTCTAAAACAAAACAATTAAGTTTTTTCACGTGTAAAAAAATTTAGACTTCTCGAAGGTCATTTTTTAACCTAGACTTAGCATTCGACCCGTTGGTCATAAAAAAGGTATGTGTTAATGAAATAAGCTTTGTAATAAATCATATTGCCTGGTATGAAATTTCCTAAAATTTATATTCAATAATAAATTCTTCATTTTTCAGCTTTTTGCAATAGCAGTCAATACGAACAGTACAGTTTAGAATAACAGTTCTTGGAATAAAGTAGCATCTAAGTAGTTTTTTCCGCTCATCAGATTCAGCAGGTTTTCGACTCTACTTGGCAGTAAATATGATTCAGTGTTATTAAAGGAAGGCCAAATGAAGGTCATTTTTGTTTCCTTTTACTATACGTTCAACTTTTTAATGAAAATAATTAATTGTGTGAAGTGTGTTGCAGTAATCTATTTGCGTAAAATCAGGGTCTTACCTTGTAACTTTCTATGGTAATTGCAATGAATAAATTTCGTAGATCACAGTATGAGGAAAAGGATATTAAACGGGATATTTAAATTTTGATAGACTTTGCCATTTGCTGTATTCAAGAGCTTTTGCTGTCAAAGGCCAATGGCGGCATGATCAGCTTACTAAAGGGTATTTCAAAACGTGTTTTGTTTTGATAAATCCACTCTCATTTCACAAAAATTTGGGATATTGAAGTGGTTTTTTTGCAGTAGGCAGCAAAAGTTCGCCGAATTTCGATGATACAATTCATTGAATTGGATTGTTTTTTTTTGTTCATACATGTTATTGCGATTTCACTACATTTTGTGCTGAACAAGCGACAGTTCTGATTTAAATTAAGTTATCCGGGCAAATTGAATAAAACTTAGAGTTTAAAACGGGTTTTGGATCAACCGTACAATCCCCCCTCCCCATTTGATTTATGAGGGAGAAAATATGGATTTTTCAGGAAATAACTAAGTATACCTAAGATTTATAGAAAGTAAGTATATTTAGAGAAAATCTGTTAAAAATACGTTAGTTTAGGTTGTTAGCAGCATTCAAATGCAATCCCACATAAAAATCGTGACAACCAATTTTATGTGCGCGTTTTTCGAAATGCAAACATTATACAAAATTAGTTTTCAAATTTATCACGCGGCTAGGGAGGAAATTCTACGGTTGGTCACTTAGGGGGGAGATTGTACGGTTGATCCCGTGTTTTTCTCAAATTGGGTTGAATTTAGACAAACAAATGATAAAGACAAACTTTTTTACCCCAAAATTTTACCCAATAAACGACATTGTTTGCTGTTTTTAGTCAATCAAAAATTATGTCAAAACTATTGGTTCAATTGCTGACAAAAATATATCAATGTGAGCATCTTATATAGCCCAATAAAATTTACGAAAAGTATGATTTCCAAAAAGTTGTTAAAAAATTGTTTACATGTTAAAATTGGTAATTTATAAAGAAAAGTTAGCGTTTTTATTTTTAACAATATATCAAAGCGAGCATCTTATAGAGCCCAATAAAATACAGGGAAGGTTTAGTGATCTCAATTTTGTATAATTAAATTCATTTTCACCTAATAGCCAAAAATGTCAATTTACTATATTAGGTATCATTTTTTTTTATTTAAAAACACATTTTAAACGTTTGCGCCAATTGTTGGAGTTTACCAATACTTAAAGCGTAATTTTTGATTGGCCAAAAAAGCCGAAAATGGTCGTTCATGGGGTAAAATTTTGAATCCGAAAAATTTTGGACCCGTAAAGTTTTGTATCCGTCAATTGTTGTATAAAATCACACCATTTTGAGAAAAACGCGTTTTAATTTTTAAGTTTAATTAGTTTTGTCCGGGTAATTTAAATCAGCACTATCTACTAAAACAGAACTAAAACAAAATTTTTTAACTCGTTTTTTTTCCAAATTCGTGTCATTATCCAGATTTTTAAACGGGTAATTATCTGGAACCTTAAAACGGGTCATTATCCGGAACCATAAAAGGGTCATTTAATTTGGTTCCAGATCAAGGAGGTAAAGATAGTCAATTGTTGTTATGCTTACATCAATTGACCTTGTTTACCTCCTCAAATTTGAACCAAATGAGACAATCCATTGTAATTTTGTTCGAAGTTTCGCACAACAAAATTGCACCAAAAACAAGTTGGTGAAATTCTAAGCAATTTTAGTCCACATCATTTTTTGGCCAAATATACGCAAATTTGAAAAAAAAAAAACGATTTTAAAAATTCTCCATAAGTTCATTTTATCCGGTTCGTTTAATTCAGCTCTATACTAGCTCAACCAGCACAAAATTCAGTGAAAACTCTTCAAATTGCATAAACATGTGTGAGCAAAAATTAATCTAAATATAGTCTATAATATCACCTGAAACTACTGCAAAAAGAATCACTTAAACAACCCAAAAATTTAAGAACCGAGAGAGGAGTTATGAAAAGCACCCTGTCGTTGATCAAAGAAATCTTCATTGATTAGATAACAGGTACGACAGAAGTAATACATGTAAACTCGAGAATCATGTATTTGTTCAGAATTCGTGAAGGAGGTTATTCTCGTGGACGACCACAGCGACATTAAATCCAACGTTGATGTGCTCCCAAATGCAATTAGAACCTTTTTCCCGCCGATGGTTAAGTTAGTGAGGAACGAGAAACGCCTCGGCCTGATCAAAGCCAGGATGGCGGGCAGCGACAAGGCCAGTGGTGACATCATTCTCTTCTTGGACTCCCACTGCGAGGTTGGACCAGGATGGCTAGAACCTTTGCTACAGAGAATCAAAGAAGACTATCGTAATGTAGTGATGCCTTCGCACGACATCATCAAAGCCGAAGGGTTTGAATTTGTAGGAGCCAGTACTATAGATAATCAGGGTGTGTTCAACTGGGGTCTATTGCATATTTGGCAGGGTCTTCCAGATTTTGACAAGGAAAAAATCAAACTGAAATCAGACCCTGTAAGGTCTCCCACTATGGCAGGCGGACTTTTTGCTATTTCAAAGAAATGGTGGGAATATCTGGGGAAGTACGATCCTGGTTTTGAAGTTTGGGGAGGCGAAAATGTGGAATTATCATTTAAAACGTGGATGTGTGGCGGTAGGTTGGACATCATGCCTTGTTCGCATGTCGGTCACGTGTTCCGAGGTGGATCCCCTTATCCCGCCCACGTGAAGAACTCCATGTCCATTAACCAGAAGCGTCTTGCCGATGTTTGGCTCGATGAGTACAAAGAAATCGTGTATTTAAGGCATCCAGAGCTGAAAACGTTGGACGCCGGTAACATATCGTCACGTGTCGCGCTTAGGAAAAGTCTCAATTGCAAGTCGTTTAAGTGGTACATGGAAAACGTAGTACCAGATAAGTATGTACCTTCGCTGAAATTAAAAGCAGGAGGTGGTATAAAGACATCTGAAAAATGTGTAGACACAATGCAAAAAGAAACGGGCGAAGTGGCACTTTATCCGGCATGTCACTACACCGGATCACAGAACTTCCAGATGACTGCAAAGGATGAGATTCGTCATGGGGTGGACGCGTGCCTGGAAGCAGATCTAGTGTACCAGAAGATCGTACTGGCTCCATGCAGTGGTAAAGTAATGCAGAGTTGGAGCCATAGTGGTGCAGGTACTCCTATTCAGTCCAAGGCCAATAGTGAATACTGTGCGGCGGGTGTAGGGGACTCTCTGTTGCTGTATAGATGTGATGCACATGATAGCAATCAGGCATTCACATTTAAAGAGTACTACAATGCTTAATAACAACCAGGGACTCACTTTACCAATTGTCATGAGCAGATCAACTCAACACAGCCTAGGTCTCCAAAACTTGAATGATTTTGGGCGGAGTTGTTAATTTTCAATTTAAATACAAGAAAGGTGCTCTTAGCAAGATTCCCATAATTATAGCTATTTAACTTGATACCTCTTTCCAAAAAAAGGAAGCTCAAGCAATCAAATTTCGTAGCAATCAAAATTTTACAGACTAGCAGGTATCGCAATCGTGGTGTGCAGATAACGGAAACTTTGAACAGCTTTTTTATTAGTCATTTCGACCTATGATTTCTCACTGATGTTGACCGAAGAAATATTCACTGGCGCTTTAAGTACTCATGCCGAATAAATTATCTTTATTACATATCTCGGTAAAAATAGAATAAAACGGTTTGTTTCAGATGCAGAGCAATGTATATTCGCAGTTTGAATTATTTTCACTTATATTTGATTCTTTTTTCTTTATAAAATGTTCATGTTATCCGATGATCAATAAATTCTGTTTTCTCTTTGTTTGATAAGATAAAGAACCTAAATAAACCTGGATAAAAATCATAGTAATGGCTCAGGTTTACGATGTCCGATTTTTGTTTCAACTGTCGAGGAAAGTGACGGAGCATTCATGCTTCGGGTGTTTATTATTCAGGCCAATTTCGAATCTTTTTTGCTTGTGATTAGCTAGCGTTATCAAATCGGAGCATTTGGTTTTTTCCCCGTAAACATTTTGTACAACAGAATCACTGAATCAGTTTCCTGAAATCTTTACTTTCCTCAACCAAAAGTCTGCATTTTAAACGTCTGCTTTTTAAACATTGTGTTGGAATTTTGTAAAATTTATGGTAAAATACCAACTCCGAGTTGGTAGATTTTTATTGGCGTTATATTGTATCGGCTTAGTGGCATCAAATTGCGTTGTTTAAAGTGCGAACTAGCCCAATTGGGGGACTTGTTTACTTGAAGTTAAATGAAAAAAATTTTCGGTTCAACTGTTGTATGCTCAAGTTGTGTTGGCTTTTTTGTTGCTTCGTAAGTTTTTTTTGTGTTCTTTTTCTGAAAATGATTTTTTTTCAAGACAATTTGAGATGAACCTATGAAAACTTTGGTAGATATAGTTTTTTTTTCAAATTTGTTTTTCATTTTGGCGTCTTGATTTTCAGTTTGTCTCGGATAGTTTACCGGGCTATATATTTTTTGTATCATAAGTGGTGCTAGGCTTTGCTGCACCTCTGTAATAAGTGAAATACTTAACCCTTTTTATCGGATTTTTTCAAAATATTCTATCTGAAAGATACCGATGAATTTAGATTTCAAAAAGTATTTCATGTGAAGCAATGGAAAATTGAACAAGACTGATCGTATATCAGGGCAAAGCCCTGAATGTTCCGACTGCCCCTTAATCTATATCGAAAAAATTTTCGGAAAATAAATTATTGAAAAACTATAAATTTTGGACAATATCAAAGATCTAGTGTACAAATTTGAGTCATAAGAAATCAGTACGACCAAATAACTTGTCTCAATTCAATTTGGAACGATTTTGTTGTTCGGGATAATTCGCCACGCATAATTAACTCGCGTTACGCCTTCAGCAATATGAATAAAATCTTCAAAATGAACATAAATTAGTGCAAAGCATGGCCAAATTGGCCAAGTTTCAAACACCCGAAACTTTGCGAAAAAAATCGGAGGTCAAATATATATTTTTTAAATTTGGTTTCAGGGAGTCTGTAGCTTCAATGGGACTTTAAAAATTTTCTGTTAAAAACAATTATTTCGATCGCCGAAAAATGACTGAATAAAAAAAACACCGAGCGTAAATATTCCGTTTTCTTCGAAAGTCGAAACAAAAAGCCAATTTGGGGATTTAGGGGCAGTTTACCCGCACAAAATGACTACTGTTTTCCATGGAAAGCATAGAAAATGTGGCAAGTAATCCGGCTCGGAAATCATTTCAAGTTCAATAGAGGCCAGCTAGTTAAATTGGAAGTATAGTAAATGCTCAAAAATATGGTAAATTATAAATCACGCGTGCTTCTAAATGCGTGATAAATCGTTTTGTCGTTAAAATTGGATACAAGGGATATGAATTTTGTTTTCAGTTTTCATCTGTTATGAAATTGTAGCAATATGTTTGAATAAATTTTATCTAAGACATTTTTAAATAACGGTTGCATCACTCATAGATTTGACCTGATACGCGCATTCTCTTTGTTAGAATGTTATCAAAGCTTCAAAAATAGACGTCGAATCCTTATGCATACCAGGGGCGGATCTAGGATTTTCTCGAGGGGTGCGGATCTTCAAAAATTTTGACCTTTTTTTTAGGTCGACCAAATTGATTTTCTGAGCTCTCCTAAATCACTAAAAAGGCCCCATTTCGACCAAATTTTCTGCTTCGCAGGCAAAATTTTGAAAAAACATGCCAAAAAAGGCGTTTTTAGGCAATTTTTGGAAAATTTTGACCAAAATCCCGTTTTTTTGGCGCGCGCTCCCCACTCAAAATTAGTAAATAATGGCGCCAAAGGCGCCTTTAGAAAGTTTTTAGGGTCCGTCACCAAAAATGGATATCTCAAAATAGTACAAAGGGGCGATCCTTTGGGTCGGCAGGTGGTCGAATTCTTGAGGGGGGTGTCCTCCATCTGTTTTTTAGCATCGCAATAACGAGTGCTTTCCGCATTGTGTGCCTCGATCAACCCCATCCCTAGAGCCTGATCATCTTTTCATACGTTTTGAACTACACCTGGACGATAATTTTTTTTTCTACTAAAAGGACATCGATAAAATTCTTCAAAGCAGGTTGGTAAGGTTTTACCGAGTCGAGTGAGTCGCGGCTATCCGCAGCGGTGACACCTAAAACTCTCGGGATCTGGTCTTCGGGGAAGCCCGCCACAAGGGAAGCATGCCGCTGCTCTCTTCTGCCATAATCCGCCCATATTTGCTTCGGATAAAAGTTTCAGCACAGATTGTTTCCCTTCACTCAACACAACTTTTCAACTGTCCGAAAAACTTTTTCGCGTTATTTGGACCAATCAGCTTGCCCTAAATGAATATGTAATAATTTTTGAGCCAAATCTTATTGTCGTTTATGCTTCGCGTTAGCACTAAACTGGAAAATACCGAGCAAAATTATCCTAACTTGGTCAAAGTGGTCCAACATACAAAAATCCAAAACTGCATGAATAATTACGACAACAAAGTATATTTTTACTTTGAGAGCACATATTATCAATGTTTTAGAGAGAAATTCTGTCAATATTTCCCAGTTATAAAGTCGGAGTTTGCCAGACGAGAAAAAAACTAGTCCGAGCACAATTTTTCCATCATTTTCTTCGAACGCCGTTACAATAAGATCTAATTGCGCCAGTAGTTCAGTCGACGTACATGGTGCTAATAGCTAATAGTCTCGAAGATTAAATAGTGGGCTACTTCCCCAGATTGCGCAAATTCTTTTGCAGTTTAGTTTTTTTTTCCTTTTTTTTTAAAGTTTTAAATCTGTTTTTGTTATTTTTCTGGTAGCTTGGTTTTTATTCTGTCATAAAAAAATCAGGTCCCGTTAATGTTATTTTAATATTAAAAACTTAGGTGCTCATTTAAACCTGAATATTTTCCAGGTGATAGCAATTGTCAGGTACAAGAAGGATAGTTGGGTCACTGGAAAAAGAAAGTATGAAAGCTGGGTCCTATCCTTTTAATAAAGATCTTACAACGCAATTATACGAAAGTCAAAGCTGTTTCCAAAAGATCCAGAGCGCTTAAACTTTTCTTCAAGAACATCTATATTTTTGTGACCCAATTATCACTACAGGTTCCTTTCGTCTCATTATAAGTACCGATATCCATTGTACAGTCATGTGAAGAAAGATTGAGACAGTTGACTTTTTACTATATTTGAAAACAAAAACAGTTCGCAGAACTAAAACAAAGTTTCAACAAAATCAAGTTTTCAATATTTGATTGGGTATCCAAGCTTCCTTATGACTGCATTAATGAGTCATACAGTGAATCATGCAGGCGATGAATATAGTTTCTGCGGAATCGCTTAAAATTCATGTTAAATAAAGCCCCAAAGAAAATCTAAATTTTCGAACCGTACGTATGTTTCCGGATACTTTTACACAAAATCTCACAATCTTTTACCCGCTTAACATTTATTCCGGTCTCTATCAACCTTTTTTTTAACATTTTGCCAAATTGTAAAAAATGATGAAAGTTTTCAAAAGTCTAACTTAATGAAATTAAATTGAATACATATAATGAAAGTCAAAATGCGATAATGACGCATTTTTCAACTGAAAGCAAGATTGTAGTGAAGTCGAGCGCCATGTTTTACAAAGTTTTTTGAGCTGCAGCTTTAAAAGGTCTCGAAAATTCTGTATTCTCGAGCATTCTAAAGTCTGGATGATTCATGAATTTTTATTTGAAGTAGTCAATTCTTTTTTAAAGTGAACTCGATTCAACCTCAAGGTTAGATGGTTTTTGTCCAATTTTTTCCGAATTTCGCCGATTCGCGCTATGAATTATCTTTAAATATTTCAAAAACTCATCGCAAAAACAGCTTGCTTAGAAAAACTTAAACTTTTCACGAATCGATTTGGTGGATGAATAAACTTGAATTGTTTCAAAGTTTCGTCTCTTAAACAGCTTGCACAGACAAATAAACTTTTCGCGAACCGATTTGGTCTACGAAACAATTACAATTTTGTAAAGATTTGTCGCTGGAATAGCTATATGACAACGCTTAGGTTTATCGCTTAAATAGCTTACATTGAAAAATTGAAACGTTTCGCTAACTAATTCACGCTATGAAATAATTTGAAGAACTATAAATTTTTATCACCTATAACTACCATCCCAAAATTTCTCAATGCAAATATTAAACGACGCATAATTAGTTGTCTTTATATTCGCGGCAAAATGGAATCACCACGCAATATCAAATCAGTCCAAAATCTTCGTGTTACTGTCAAATTACCTACCTACTGCGTTTGAACAGCGCTGTAAAAAAATGTACTTTGTGCAATGCGCTGATGTTGGTGGACCTCTAACAAGACAAGTTAATGTTGTTTTTCACCAGTGATGAGCCCGTTAGAGCTCGACAATACACTTAACACCTTAAGAGGCTCGAATCAAGCGATAAGCTCGCTAAAGCTCAGGAAAAGCTACAATCCCAGAGAGACTCCAAGCCAGGGTTCGCAAAATGTAAGTTAAAAACAAAAATAACAAACTAACTGTTATTTATCGAAAAAAAACATGTTATTTTTGTTAAATTGTTAATTAAATTAACATATCAACAAGAGTTGAGTTTCTTGAACAGAAATGCCAACTTTCCGGCTTTTTCAACGCTGAGTTGAGCACGAAGCTTCGCATACGTCAGTCCCAGGGTGGAAAAGCACTTCTCAAGCCCTGAAGCTGCAGGGCATGTGCTGACCAGACTTGCTGCGAAGTCCACACACTTTTTATCGAAGCCTTAACGAGCACC